CTGTGTACTTTGTGTTAGATGGTGTGGGAGAATGGATGCACTGTGATCGTGATGATGACAGCTCTGGTGGAGGATGGAGAGAAACAGTGTGACCGCTACTGGCCTGATGAAGGCTCGTCCCTCTACCATATCTATGAGGTGATGAGTGCGTGAGAGGGTGTGAGTCCGTGTGCGTGTGCAGCAGCAGCAGGGGTGATTTTATTCTTATTGTGTGTTTGTCCAGGTGAACCTGGTGTCGGAGCACATCTGGTGTAACGACTTCCTGGTTCGAAGTTTCTACCTAAAGAACGTGCAGACGCAAGAGACCCGGACACTCACTCAGTTTCACTTCCTCAGCTGGCCAGCTCAGGGCATCCCTACCTCCACACGCCCCCTGCTGGACTTCCGCAGGTACTGCAGTTAAATGCCAAACGGAGAGAGTTAAATCCCATTCAAACAAGGTTTTTCTCTGTATGGGAGGTGGATTGACTTTCTTATTTATGGTCTTGTGAAGAAGAAAGCTTTGAAAGGACACTGTGTAGTTCTGTGAGAAACTAGTACACCCTGACTGCTTCCAACAACATAAGTAGCAGCGAGGTGTCACTAATCAGATGCCCATGATTAACTGATCATTAGTGAGTGTAAGCACCTCTATAAAATCAGAAATTTTGGCAGTTTATCTGTAGCATTTAGTTGTGTGTTAACATAATGCAACAGTGTTCCCAGGTGTGGACGTCCCAATAAATTCACCCCAAGGTCAATGTTGTGCAATGCTCAGAGAAACTGCAAAAAACCCAAGAACTACACCTTAGGATCTGCAGGCCTCAATTAGCATGCTAAAGTTCATGACACTACAATTAGAAAATGACTAAACAAGTATAGCTTGTTTGGAAAGATTGCCTAGAGAAAGCCTCTTTTATTTGAAAAGAACATGGCAACGCAGTTTAGATTTGCAAAGGGGAATCTGAACAAAGCACAGCACTTCTGAAACAATGTCCTTTGGACAGACGAGACCAAAGTAGAGATGTTTGGCAATAACCAAAACCAGCACATCTGCACAAATACCACACAGTGGAGGAGGGGAGATGATTTGGACTTGTTTTGCAGCCACAGGAGCTGAGCAGCTTACAGTCATTGAGTCGACAATGAATTTCTGTCTATACCAAAGTATTCTAGAGTCAGATCTGACAGCTAAAGCTTGGCCCAAACTGGGTCATGCAACAGGATAATGATACCAACTCAGCAGCAAATCTATAACAGAATGGCTGAAAAAGAATTAAGGTGATGTGATGGTCCAAATCTCAACCTGACTGCAATGCTCTGATGGGACCTTAAGAGAGCTGTGCAGGAACCTCAATAAACCAAAGCAATGTTGTAAAGACAAGTGGGCCAGAATTCCTCCACAACAATGAGAATCCTGATAAAGTCATACAGAAAATAATTACTGCTGAAGGTGGTTCTACTAACTACTGAATCATGGGGTGTACTTAGATTTTAACAGGACTGCAGAGTCCTGTGAAAGCTTTCTTTTCATTCAACTGTAAATTAAAAGTGCTTTACATAACATAATTACACACTTTAAATAGCTTTTTATTGCCAGTGTCTGAAGAGATTAAAATAAACTTTAAAATTTGAGTTTCCTTGAGTCACACATTGCCTCTAACAGCCTGTGGATTGATTTCTATATGAAGGACTCCAACAGTCCAAAGGATGTATTCCTGACCAACACTAGCTGATAATAGCTTAACGAATGTGAACTAACTATAGGCTACCATCACTACATAGACTCAAAAACAAAGTCCACATAAGGGCCAAAAGCAGTGCTGCTGTAGAACCACTGAGAACATTAGCACGTACTTGATTAACTTATAACAAGGGCTCCACTAGCTATCATGTGTGGTTTGTCACCTAGATGCCACGTTTTGTAAGAAGCAATTTGTCCATGACGGTACATGAAGTCAATTTCTAAATTATGGTTATTATTTGATTTCAAAACACCAAGAACTCAAGGCTTCATAACAGTAATCCACTAACCACTAGCTGATGTCATGTTGGTCAAAGTGCTAGTTGGCTAGCTTGCCAAATGACTTCACCAGCTTATCCATGATGATGACTTCTATATAATGTAAAACAGCGAGAGCTCACACAAGCAGCACATCAAGCATGCATATCAAGTAATACTTGATGTGCATGCTTTGGAGGAGTCTAGAAAATAAGAAAAGATGACAAAATTGTCCTTCAAAAGAAGCACCCAGCTATCCCCCCTCTGACCCAGAAGGAACAAAATCATGCAAACTAACAATAAGGTACCTTAAAGACGTTACCTGATAAATAAACACTATAGATTCCCCCATCT